TTTTGGGCCCCGTTTTTTGGGGACTACCGGTCGCACGCCGGTGGGTACCCCGCGCGACGCGGCGTGTTAACGGCCGCGTCGATTTCTTCAAGCAGGGAGAGGTACTGGTGGTTTAAGGGAATAAAGAGAGAGTCAATTTTCACACACACAAGCTGCATACGATAGCACTCGTTAACACCAGGAATGAGAGGGAAGAGGACCTCACCAGCAACGTTGAAAACAACCCGGGTGAACTTATGAGCGTATGAATGGTCAGGTGCGTGCTGCCTCAAACAGGTGCCAAGGAGTTCAAAAATTCAAAAGAGAACCCTGAACATGGAGTCCTAATGTCTGGAGCATGTGTGGAGAACAGCAGGGTGCACTGGATTCACCAGGAACAGGCCCTGCAATTAGCTTGGGCAAATAGTCTGAAGAACTGGTGCTGCGGAACGCATGGGATGAGAGGATAACAAGGACGGGTCAAACGGAGAATCACAAGAAACTGTGCATTACGTTTTCTTCACCCTTTGTTTAATGGGAAGGGGTAAGTGCCAGGCTTACCATCTCTCTCCTCAGTCATCATGTAACCAATCTTGGAAATGACGATATCTCGTGGTTTCTTCCCACCAGCTTCATCTGCCATAGCCAGGAGCTCAAGTCCCTGTTCAAGCAAAAGCCTGAAGAGCATACACAACTGCTGGGTCCTCTTCTCCTGATCCATATGTAGAATTTTTCTGTGAAATGACCTGTGATCCGGATTCCTCCCAGCACCAACTGAAAAGTCAGTGGAGAAGAAGCCTTCTCCGTCATCCTCCACGGCCACCAGACCTGCCTCCACGGGCAGCACAAGGACATCCAGAAGCTCACCTCTGACATCTGTCCAGACAGATACAAGCCATCGTCCACTATCGGTCCACTTGTAGCAGCAATGCATATTTGGCGTTGGTATTGCAGTACTGGTCAGGTCACCTCCTTGCCGCCCAGGTGTGTCTGCTCCGCCAGACGCACCAGCTCCTTCTCCTGGTCCGTCTGCAGTAAGGAGCCCCTCTGAAGAGTCTGGCAGTCCTCTACTACCCCTTCCTGCTTCCCTGTTTAAACCTGCAGCCACACTAGGTCTCACTAGCCCAAGCGCTGTCGTACCAGATTCTGCTAGGATAAAGAGTGGTTCATACAGAAGCCTCAAGCTTCCTTTGCATTCAACCTGCGTTTGCAGTGTACCCTTATCAACTGCAGGAAGTCTAGAGAATTCCTCCGCTGCAATTCCCAGCCGGCGTGGTGGCACAACACCTTTCCAGTCAGTGTCTCCAGACCGGTCCCTACCTCCCTGGTCTTCAGATGCTTCACAACTATTCACACCACCGAACCGCTCCTCACTCAGGCCAGACCGGGAACCACAGTCTTTCCAGACAGACGTAGAACCGGTCATCGCAGGCCCAGAGCAAGAAAACAGCTGACCAGAAGGCTGTATCCCCTGGAGTGACTGACCTGTGCTGGTAACATGCTGTTTCACAGCTGATGAAGTTGGGATTCGATGTTGACTGACCTGCTGCTGCCCCTGGGGCTGTGCAGGCTGCTGCTGCATACCCATTGAACACCCTCCCAGTGAAGACATCAGCTTCTGTTGAGATGCTCGAGACTGTAGCTGAAAATTTCTGTAGAAAAATGATGACACTCCTTGAAACTTGGCTGGGAGCCTTCTTGGCTGCCTTCTTGCTTTGGTGTATACAGAAAATGCAACCTCCTTCATTGTATCAAGAGTTCCGGCACATGGTGTTCCACACCTCATGACCACCTCGACAGTGAGCATTTGGACAGCAACTCGTGCCGAGGAGACTCCTGAAGATGATGCCAGAGGAAGGCAGTCCTTACGACCTTTGGCCATCTCTTCCGCGACAGATGACGGTGACTTCCGCCCTATCCTAGAAGCACTTAAGAGTTGCATGGGCTCCAGCCACTCAACATGAGCTAGGTACTGGCAGACATCAATTGTCGTATCGAGGATAACATCTGGTTCAGTGGAAGGGCATACCACATAGACAACCTGGGACGTTGTTAACAGCAGCCCCACCCAACCACGTTAGCAATTCGTGAGATTGTGACGATGAAGCACATCAGAAATGCTCAAGCTCTTCCTGGACAAAAAAAAAAAAAAACACTCAAGGAAACTGTGACCCTACTCTGTTGCATCATCCTGTGATCCACAAATTTCAATCCCTTCAGAATCAGAAGCTACCATATAGGACACACACAAGACTGCTACAAAAGTCATTCAAGCAGAAGAGCGACAGATGCCTCCATGGACCAAAAACAACAAATAAATGGTGACTCATCGATCACGTACTGTCCAGTCTTTCATTGTCCACAACCAACCTGTACATCATCACTGCCAGAAGGGAAAGCAAAGCAGGCAAGCTGAGGTCTGAATTGGCTAAGTCCCTGCACGGTGAGGTGCAGGTTGAGACATTTAACAGAGGAAGAAACATGGACCGTAGCACAGACGACAGCACATTTGTAGAAGATCACAAAGGCAATGCACCATGTAGATCATAAACAATTAAGCCACCAGTAGCTCGCCCAGGCAAACTTGAGAATCGAAAATGCAACATTCCAGGCTCTTCGGATTAAGTGCTACTGGACCAAAATGGCTGGTGTCGCCAGTCAAAAGAAAAAGAAAACACCGCCATGGCCGTTCGTTTCTTTCTGGCATGAAAGGGGAATCTGCCTCGGCAAAACGCCGCTTGGAGGTACTGGTGGTTTAGACCAACAGTGTGAGCAGTGAACACTGAAAAGACGGACACATTGCCCAGGACCGAGTCCACTCGGATAACATTGGTCAAGAGAGGCAAATTCCATAACGGATGCATGCGCGTTTAGCGGGATTACTGCCCTGGTGGTGTCCACCCTAAGTAGGTCAGGTTCATGATAATTACAGCCCTCTTCGGCTCAGCCCAAGTATGCACTGAATATTGTCGCCCTGTGCCCATGGGTGTGCTTGTGCGATCACATGCTGCACACACATTATGCCATACATAGCCACAGCCGCTTGTCTGGAGTCTACAGTGCATTTCCTGGATGTGGCAGACCTGTTGTTTTGTGGGGGGTTTACTGGGGTATGTATGATGGCGTGCGAACCTGAAGTCTGTAGAGTTTTCCGTCTGGTGTGGGTGCCTAATAGTCTGCTTTGATTTCCGTCACTGGTACCCTTGAGAGTAGTGGTTGGCGGTCCCCATCACCTCAGAGGGGTATCAGACGTGGGCAGTCGATGATACTCAAACTGTAACCGGGGTTAAGGTGGATTATAACTTACAGTATCATCAGTAAGTGGACTCTGCAGACTGTAGAGAGTTCAGCCTCTTGATATGTCTGCGAAACTCCGACGGAAAAGTCTGTCACAGTCACCCGTTTCTTGTCCTTTTCTACCTTTGTACCAACCGTTAACCACGTAGTTCGCTATCACAATACATGTCTAGCATGTGCAGGCCTAATGCCACCACTCAGTCTGCCCACCTAATTTGAAAAGATCAAATGCCACCCATGTGAAGTCCAAAAGGAAAGAAAGGGAAAGGAAGAAAGAAAACAATCTTATCTGCAGCTTACGAACAGTAAAGCGACGAGGTGATGGTGACAATTATGATATCATGCATGATTGGAATCACCAGTACTTCATGACTGTAATCAACATCATCTGATCATGATCATCATGAATTTATTGCAACGTTGCCATCCTCCTCTTCCCATGCCTCTCCTATTCCCAATCCAATCTTCCCCTCCTCTCCTCGTCATAAATATTTTCATCATCATCATCACCAATCATGATCATAGTCAGCATCTCCTTCCCTATCAGCTCCACAATGAGCATGACCTCGACCACAACAACAACACCACACACACACACACACACACACACACACACACACACACACACACACACACACACACACAGAGTCATGCGTTTTTGTGGAGTTGTGTACAGTGAACACGACAACACAAACACACACACACAGACTTACTGCCATTCTCGTCAGGGCTTTGGATCAAGAGTCTGCCAGCAGTGCAGGGTTGGTGTGAGTAAACCACTTTTCTCAGGGGTATCGCTAACCATGGGTGACGTGGTAAGTCTTTATCCATCAGTCAAATGCATCCTGGACAGGCTGTCGATGTTAAACCTCCTGCTGAGTCGCTGAAAGTCCAATGAAACAGTCTGACACAGTCATGCTTTTTTTTGTACAGCGGGGTAACAGCGCACACACACATACACACACACATATGTGAGTTTTTGCTTTCAGTACTGCACTCATGTACGGCACCCTGACATGTCATGTCCAATTTGTAGACGGGCTGGAACGACAATGCCTCTATAATTCTAGTCGACGTGCCTCTATGTTCCTAGCATGTAGGAGCCATGTAGCCTGTGACATCTGTCTGCGCCGCGCCATTCGATGCAGCAACTGTGACTGTGAAAATTGGATGCGGTGCTTCCACAGTCCACACCCGAACCGGTCCTGTCCGGTCTGTAGGGGTGGCCACTTACTACAGGCAATAGCTGCTCCTCAACTCAAAATCTTATGCAATCCAAACGCTAACTGACCTCATGTCCCATTCTGGAGTAGCCTGTTCCAGCGGTGACTATTTAGAATTCTGTGAAGTTCACCATATACCTCTTCCCTGCCCTTTGCATGTCTTCACATATTTCTCTCCTGCCCTTTGCACTCCACCTCCCCCTACCCACACTCCTATAGAACTCTGCCTTCTATTCCTTTCCCTCCACCCTTCCCTCCACCCTCCCCTCTGCCCTCCCCTCCACCCTCCCCTCCACCCTTCCCTTTTGTGCTACTAACAAATACATACGAATGAGCATCGTTAAGAGAACAGACGATGTGAAGATCAGAAGTGAGATGAACGGGAGTATGAAGACGAAAGACAAACACAAACACTAAGTATAAGCTGAAGAACTGAAGTGAAATGAACAGGAGTCTGAAGACCTGAAGAGACATGGACAGGAGCATACCTTCCCTTTTACTCTGCCTCCTGTTATAACGTGCAAGCGGCTGTTAAGGCATACGGGGATGTGGGCAGCTTCTGCTCAATCTGCTCAACCACCATCAACGTGGGCAGCCTTGCACGTGCGAGGCATAGTAAAAAAGGAGCTGTTGCCGCAGAGAAAGCCGATGTAATGACAAAACACAGACTGAGAACACTGCTGATTTCTGGGATTTGCCACTGGAATGTATGCCTTGCTGAGATTCCTGCATTGTGCTGTGATTTCTAAGTCTGTGTGTGTATGCCTGCTGGTCTGCATGCCTGTCTGAGTGCTTGTCGGCCTGAGTATGTGTGTGACCCGCAAGGGTACTTGTTGGTTGAAAGGCCCTACCTGTGGCCGTGACTTTGAGGGTTGCAGCGGGAAAAAACACCCAAGTAGTGGGGGTAGGCCCGCGACAGCAGCGGGAAAAACACTCAAGTTGCAGGTAGGCCGGTACCACTCAAGTAGTGGTAGAAGTGATGAAGCCCGAGCAGAAGAAGACAAAAATGCATTTTTAGAGGCCCAGTAGCGGTAGGCTAAAGGTAGGCTGGTACCAGACCAAGTACCCTGGGTCTAGGGCCGGTCCGGGCAATATCAGAGCCTGCAATGATGTTTCCCTCCGAAAGAGAGGAGGTACCAGTTGCTGGGAGGCCGTGCGGCCTAGGAAGTCACCCAAGAGGCAAGTAGGCCGCTATATCTTCAGGAGGGGCAAGCAGCTGGAGAGCAGCTGGGCGCTCGGCCTGGCTATGGCAAGCAGCCCAGCCTGAGGAGGAGGAAGAAGGGGGCGAAGGAGGAGAGTGGCGAGGTACCTACCTGGCTATGGTGGACACCATGTTCATCACCTTGTTAGGCGCTGCATTTGGAAGGCCCCAGTTGGGGTAGTGCCGCACCAAGGAAGCTCGAGGCAGAGTCAGGCATGGCGGCCTGATGAGCAGCGACATAGCTGCTTTGTGTTGTCCTTTGGAGAGGAGGGCAGAGCCCTTAGTAGTCCGCCATAGCCTAGGCATGTGAGAGGAAGAAGAAGGGGGAAGCCATGGCTATGGTGGACCTGTTGTTGTGTCAGCCGTAAGAGGGAACTTCGGATATTGATTCTGGTTCATCCACTCATTGTTATTATTATTATTGGGAAGAAGAATAAGATTGGCGAAGTCGAGAAGGAGGAGGAAGGTGGAGAGAGAAGGGGGACTTGTCATTGGTCTTGCTGGTGTACATCTTCTTCTTCTTCTTCTTCTTCTTCTTCCTCTCTTCTTTGGTCTTTATCTCTTTGCAAGTGCTTTCATTTCTCTCACAATTGGGTGGCATCGTCTTTCATTGTGAATTTGCACTTTGGGAATGGGCAGGATCGTAACGCCCAACAAAGGAGGAGCTGTTGCCCCAAAGAAGTCCCAACGAAACGCGGTTCAAAATGGTTCTATTATGATTCATGTTGCTTGCTGCACGGGTGAATTATTTAATTGTTGGGCTGGCTCAACTCGAATCTACTCGTCTGTGTGGAATTGTGCAATAAAACTCGCAATATCAAACCACTTCACACAAGCAAGATGAGAGCATTCACACGAAAATTCACACCACTGAGACGGTTTTCACCTTTTGCAGTCACAGATGCGGATCCCAGGGCTCGATCCCCAGACCTTGCCTTACCTTACCTGTGTAGAACATCAGGTTGACCCTGTCTTGAACCCGTGACCTGTGTGTTAGTAGTTGAAAGTTGTCTGTCGTAGGTCTGAGTAGTTGTCGGGTCTTGAACTTTACCTGTCGAAGTAGGGGTCATACCTGCATAGGGGTCATAGTTGTAGTTCTGAAAGGTCAAGGTCGTAGCTGCTACAGTCCTGAAAGGCCAAGTCCGCACACTTCCGGAAGGTCCGGAAGTGGCCTTTCAAGTTTCTTCTCACGTTATACACAGCAGACCAGAGGCAAGTGGGCAAGTGGTGAGTCCAACTTCGCTTAGTCAGCCGTACCCAGTCCCAGTCTCACTTTGTACAGTCAGCAAGTACCATGAGGGACTGTGCACCACGGGCCCG